AAACGGATAATATAAATCTTCCCTGTGATCCAGGCAATATGAGTATGTAAGGTTAGCACTGGTTATACTCACTCGCGTTGGTGGCGTAAGCTGACATCGGGCAGGTAACAGGACATATATTTTCTCGAAAGTGACGAAGTGGGTTTCCCATATGCAATGCTACTGTGGCTATAGAAACAGCTTAGCAGAGCGATACCCTCCCCAAATTGCGGGGTCCAGCAGGCTCCGTGCTGTCTCGAGGCGCCACGAATCTACGAGCGGCCGCAGCCCGACCGCGGGAAGGACGGTGACCTCATCTGTTGGTATGCGGTGATGTGATATATTAGTGATCTCATTGCAGGGCGCCTGAGCCATGCCTGAATCGTCATCCTGTACTCGGGTACCGTCGAAACAGCATCCACGGCGTCTAATGTGTCCCCGATACTTTCCGCGGGGCATACTTACAATCGGCGTAAGATTATTTGTGCACACATTGACGCTGAGCTGGAATAGTCATTAGCATCGCGACAGTGCCGGCTTATGTTGCAGGCTGTTATGATAGAGGAACGATGAATCATCGCAGTGCGCTGAATTGGAGCTCGAGCACGCCTCTTGGTGCGATGTTCGACGCGCTGCTTTTCCCAATCCGTCTTTCCTACATTTGAGTTGCATTCTTATTATATAGCGTGTGTCACAGGTGTTGTTAAATGCGACAGGAGCCCTACCCCGCCACTCGCCCTTGACCGCATTTCCAATTTTCGCCATTGATGACTCCTGAAGCCACAAGTCACCGCGGTGCGTTCTTATTGACCTACCCTCTTTAAGAAATCCTTGCCGCGCCCCTGGTGCGGGAGTGCAGCGCACCGAAAACTCAAATGGTAGAGGCGCGCTGCTTCTGACCGCTGTGGATTTATAGTACGATTACTTATTGGATAAGCATGGGACATTTGTTAACCGAACATCTTGCAACTACGCGTGGATGCTGATGGTTCGCATCCATTTCTGTGATTCCAACCCTTGGATATGACGCTTCCGCACCGATAAATTCTTCTGTTTACATGTTCCGCAACGACCGAAATCTTGGCATGCTTGTGGTAATTTCTGTTCCCACCACTATAGCATGCTACGGTTTTCCGAGTCAACGATCGCGCGCTCGTGTCATGGTCGTCAGTTTGCGACGGCAGCAAGACGTCCGTCACCCAGCGGCTGGTCTCTGATCACTGGTCAGAGAGCGGCTCCAACACGTCAACGCCTGCCAATGCTCGCCGCATTTTACCCTCTGAACCGGCAACTCGGAGCCGAAACACTCGCGTTTGCCTTCGCGGAAGCATCGGGCGTGATCGCATGGCTTGCGCCAACAGCGGCCCTCGGTGCCGCCACCGAGGAGTCAGCAGCACGGAGAATAGCCAGGCAGCAGCCGGCAGATAGCAGTGAAAACAAACACCATCGAGTGGGTCACTGATACTGTGCTGTCAGGCGGGAGGGTACCGAACTTCAGGCGGGCACGGAAGCTGCCCTGAGGACCGCATCCGAAGGAGGGACAACAGAGGGGGGGGGGGGCAATGGAGGCCACCACCTCAAGGGACCTTAAGGTGGTGGCCTTAAGGTCCTTTAATGTCGATGTTGATATGACGATGCTCCATGAAAAAAAAACGCGGGGCCCGAAAACGAGCACCGCCAAGAACTTTGAATTTGGCTGCTCACCATTTGTCGGCATTTCAGATTGTGTGACTAAAACTTGAAGAACTAAAAAAGAAGACACATTTAAGTTTGCTCGCACTTTGTCGGCCCCCACCATGTGATAGGGATCTAGAAGTTTGAATTCCCCTGCCCTCCATCTTTGCCGAAATCCTGGCCCCTGCCTTCAATGTCCCTGCGACTGGTCCCTGACAGGTAGCCAGAGACAACAGACGCGTCATTGTCACACGAGTATTGCATAAGTATCCACCACTGTGGGTAGACTGGAGGCTGCCGAACAGCTGCCATGAAGCATGCCACTCACTAATGCCTTCAAGAAAGCTTCAGGAAAGAAAATGTCATGACATCGGCATCACATGGCAATATCGCCAAGAAGCACTGGTTTGGCATAATGGTGGCATAAGCACTGGCATAATGGTCATAACCACGCTACGTGTTTTATCATTAGAAGGCACATTAAACAACGAGGGCATGAAAATGTAATCGGGTTAAGTGCGTAAAACATGAACCAACATAAACAAAACGCAGGCGTCAGACGACATTGGACAGCATCATATATCCAAAAACGTTACGCTGAACTTTTTCCTTGCACCTCCACAACAAATGAATTCGAGACGGCGGCAAGGAACGTAAAGATAAGAATGTTGACCACGGCACAATAAGACTCACTCCCCATAAATACAGCACTGCATCCAGAACGTTAACCTCATCAAGTCAGGTGAAATGTTGACAACTGCATTAAACAGCTAGCGCACGCAAGCGGCTCACCTGCGCCATCCTTTTGAACAAACTGAGTTGTTAGGTGGCCGACGAGCGGAAGGGTGCGGTCGGCCCCCCTCCCCCCCCCCCCCCCCGATCCCCGATAGGTTCAACGAGCTATCATCGCGGCGCTGCGGTCTGGCGGTCGTCAGGTTCGTGACACAGCGCCATTTGGGGAAGCGTAGGCCGGTGGCGCCCTCCGCCCCTGTCCCTGCTGCGAGCCGTACACAAACAGTGCAGCACTGCCATTATCACGCCGGCGTAGTCCTGTTCCCACGACGCTTGGCCCCAGGAGCATGCGCAGCTACTTTCGATCGCTTTCAGTGTCAGTGGGTGCCGGACGCACACCGAAGGGCACCGTGGCGGTGAACGGTGTCACGTGTCACGGGCGATGTCACGCTCACGCAGTACTCAGAGCCGCGATCCAGTACTCGTGAGAGGGAAACAGCGATGTTTGAGTCCCTGTCGAGAGCATGAAAAGCGAACGCTGCAGCCCTTTCTTCCCTGGTTCATGTGTGGAACTATCGTGGGCTTCGTTTTATATGACACGCGTGGGGCGCGGGACTTATGTGATCGAGGCGCGCGTACTGAACGCATCCGCAGGGGTTGAGAAAGAACACTTCACCTCATATGAGCATGACAAACTTCGTAGCGTCCATAGACCACATGCGCGTGCTTCCGCATAAAGGCATCATGCATTTTTGTGTCGACGCATTTATCGGAGAAGTGAGAAAATATGCGTGTCAAATATGCGTGTCCGCAAGGCCAGAACGGACCTGCGTTGTTTTCGCACAGAATAACAATGTTTTTTTTCTGCGACGATCTAAGCTTTTGAAATATCAAACGGATCGCCATGAACTGATCCACCACTATCAATTTGAAGACAACCCAGGATCAATTCGCTTGGCTAATGGACGTCCTGGCAGGCCGTTTCGCGAATGATCGCCCCACCTGCGGCCCTCTCGCGCGCAACCGAGGTTCATCTCCGCCGGTAACGGGCCGGCAGACGCGGCGCGAACGACCCCCCGCCGCATCGAGGTCAGCCATCATGGTCCCGCCGTCTGATGATGAACTCATCGATACGCTCGTCCCGGCGCAGATGAGACGGCGGCGCAGCGGCCATCGGCGTCCATCAGCTGATGTGCCTGCGCCACCCTGCGGCGACGGGCCACGATGGCGACGGCGCCCCGCCGGCCGCGATAAACACAGGCTCGGCCCGTGGGCACGCACGGCCGCCGACGGCGCGCAGCAGGCCGCCGAGGGATGACCTCACACGGGCTCAGGAACCACACGGAGAGATGTGCAACAGTGTATGTCTGAAGATCGTGCCACGAACTCCATCGAAAACACGGCGCAGTGTGAGTGTTCTGCAAACGAATGCATGTAGTTGAGAGCATTTGTGTGCAACCCGCGTGTTCATCTCAGCATTTGCACTTTTGCTAATCTAACGTTTGTTTTAAGTGGCATCACAGTTTCGATTCCAAACATTACACAACGTTACAGACTAAATATAGCAGAGAGTAAAATTGTCTGTCCTCTGAGGCTCCGTCCCGATATTTCCACGCCAATCGAACACACCCCAACTCCTGTTAGCGAACGGCATTCCCGAACGCAACCTGCGAACCGCAAGGTCATGACTGACGCGTCATGCGATCCATCTGTTCGCACGTAACGACGGCCAGCGACAAAATCCGCTCACACGCGGCAAACAAGGTAGCTAAGCCGTGCACACACACCTCAGCGCGTTCCACCAGCGCTATCAGCGGCCGCCTGCAGGTTATCGGTCGATAGCCGATGCCCATAGTCGGTCGACGTTTCGCGCATCCGCCTTGACGTTCCTTCAGACTCTCGCTCTAACAGTGGTCGCCGACCGCATACCCGAGCGAGGGAGGGGACGCGACGAGATGCAACCTGTCCTGGGCTGAGGACTGCCCAGATGAGATCCACTTGGCCATAACAAAAACTGGCCATCACGTTGAAAATGCAAATGCTATTAATAGATGCCTGACCGTGTCATTAGGTGAAGAGAGTAAAGAGATAGAGAGGGCTCAGAGATGAAGATGGAGAGAGAGAGAGATAGGAGAGAGAGAGAGAGAGAGAGAGAGAGAGAGAGAGAGAGAGAGAGAGAGAGAGAGAGAGAGAGAGAGAGAGAGAGAGAGAGAGAGAGAGAGAGAGAGAGAGAGAGAGAGAGAGAGAGAGAGAGATAGAGAGAGAGAGGAGAGAGAGAGAGAGAGAGAGAGAGAGAGAGAGAGAGAGGCGACGTGCTACCACAAAAAGACCAGATCTGACAACAATTCTGGCCGCGGGAACAGAAAACCGAGGGGATATGGGACGGAGAGACCTCTCCTCGGGTCACAGACCGCATGTGAATGCCTGTCTGACCACGGGTTCTAGCCGCGGGAGAGACAAGGGCGGCTTTACGTCCTCCTCGTAGCGGGCCAGCGCCTGCCACGTCGGTTGGAGCCGTCGGCCGACCTGACGCTCGGCTGACGAGCCCGGGCCGACCTGGCGCGCGGCTGACGAGCCCGGGCCGACCTGGCGAGCGGCTGGCGAGCCCGGGACGACCTGGCGCGCCGCCGCCTACTCCTCCGGGATGCCCCGGATGGCCGGCTTGCCGTCCGCCACCAAGCTTTTGTTCTGCCGAAGGTAAACGGAGTCGTTTGTGGAGGCGCCTGGGTTAGGTTCCGGGCTCAGAGCAGAGTCACATCATTCTGCTCTACTGAGCCATCCGGTGGTGGAGGAGGCGACCGGTTGGGAAATGGCGGGAAAACCCAGACGGTCAACCAGCGAATCAGTTTACTTACATACCAACGCGCATTCCGTGGAGAAATACCTCTTAAGAAAAATGCGTGCAGTGATTTGCCACCTGGTGTCAGATATAAAGGGAATCCTGCACTGGCACCGGCAGTGGGGGCCACCGCAGTTCACACAACCTGCGGTGCCGGCTAGAGCGGGGCTATGATTCGCATGGTGAGGCCCTTAAGCCCTTTCCGCCTAAGCTAATACGCTACAGATACCGCGTGACCCAATGCTATCAAAGATGAGTGCTCTCACTGATAGCACCAATCGGCGCAAAGTCGATCCAATGCAACGAACCCCCCCCCCCCCCCCATCCCAACGCAGCTGAGCCGCAACACTCAGCGGTGACTCATCCCCCTGAAGTCAACGGCCACCGCCCTGTTATTTGCAACCGCATTCATGCGCGATAAACATCGGGGACCTCGCCGGCAAACATTTCCGATAGGTTGCAGACGACCCCGCACGTGGAGCCCACACGCGCCACAGCCGGGGGCTGTCATGATGCATCAATCGGAAAGGTGGGGGGGGGGGGGGGGGTCACGGGGTCTGGGGACGCCGGTTATACTCCGAGTCAGTCGGAGCACAGACACCCGATGACACATGGAGGACGACTGCGGAAACAAACGGTGAGATCACTGACCCCGGGAATCGGGGCGCGCTGAGATTCACCAAGGCATCTTAGAACCGTCGCGCCGCGTTACCGAAACCAATACAACACCATAAATACTGTGCAGGAAGGGCTGGTTGTTGCAACAGGCAAAGAGCCACGCTCACCAGAGCGAAGCGAGTCTAAGCATAGCGTGGGACGGCCGGTCTAAACGACACCATGGCTTCAGATCGTGCGTCTCCTGGCAGGGGGGAACGTAGCCAACATCAGGGCCAGCGGCAGCGGCAGCGGGCTCACCAGGAGCGTGTTAAACTTTCTGACGGCGCTCGCCTCGAACGCCTGCTTCTCGACGTCATAGTCGGGCCCGGCGATGCCCGCCTGCTTCTGCTCGTCCGTCATGTTCTCGAACACCAGCTGCGGGACATCAGACCAGGCTCAGGCCGGCGCGCAGCCGGATATGGGGACACGTGGAGCGGTGGACACGTGGTGGGACGGATGCAACGCGACATGGTCAATGATGCGGGTACAGCACCCTGCCACGCCATGCGTGAGCAACGAGCGACGAGTGTCACATGGCATCGCAGATCGACGCAGTGCGGAGGGGTGCTGCAACCCCATCACGATGGGTGCAGTCTGCAGGTTGTAGTTGCATAGCAGTCACTGCAACCTTTTTTGCTTCGACTGGGCCGAGTAATCTGGTTAATAAATCAATGCATGCTATTGGCTGAATTCAGCTTGTTCCTGGTCAAGAACAGGCGTGTTCAACATAGAGCTCTGTCGGACGTTGTCTCACACAGCGCTTAAGAGCGAAAATGTGCTATCATATTCACATCTCGCCCATGTCCTGGTGACGGAGTTAACGCAGTGGCCATTGTCAAATTAGTCGCCGGATTATGATGCCGACTTAGCCGCACGGCAGGAAATATGGGGTGTTCACCGTTAATATTTTCCCAGCCATCGACGTAATGTTCATGCTAGAAGTGATTCACGGCAGCCTTGTCAAGAGCGACCCAGTTGGCTGGGCTATCTCAATAAACAAACAGCGATATCAAACCCGGACTGCTTTTTATGGGCCCAAGTGGCAAGTTTACACTTCGCCATTCGTCAGCGAGATAAATGACTCGGCTCTAGCAGCCAGGCCACTCAGAGCTCAGCCCCACCCCCTCCCCGTTCAGCAGTGGCGCGAGGGCCGAGGTTCGATGTTGTGTGGGGTGTGGTCGCATGACACACCGCCATCCGCACAAGTCCACCGACAACCGTCTGCTGCGCACGCAACCTCGTCCTGTCACCCAAGGACACAAGGACACCGTGACGGCGCGCACGGGCTCTCTCCTCACGTGGCTATCACGAGCTCCAGCCTGCGCTTCACACGTGATCTCATTACAGGACGGAAGTCACGAGCCCCACGGGCCCCGCGCACGGGGCTCGCATGCCATCCTGATGTGGCGAAGGCATCACGGCGACACTGGCGCCGGCCAGCTATGACACTACAGGCCGCGTCCAGCCGAGTTCAGCGTCCCAGCCCGAACTCCGGCAGTGGCGCAGGGTAACACAGCCATCCCAGCTGGGATCACAGCGAACTCCGGTGGTGGCGCACGGTAACACGGCCATCTCAGCTGGGATCGCAGCGGACTCCGGTGGTGGCGCACGGTAACACGGCCATCTCAGCTGGGATCGCAGCGGACTCCGGTGGTGGCGCACGGTAACACGGCCATCTCAGCTGAGATCGCAGCGGACTCCGGTGGTGGCGCACGGTAACACGGCCATCTCAGCTGGGATCGCAGCGAACTCCGGTGGTGGCGCACGGTAGCACAGCCATCTCAGCTGGGATCACAGCGGACTCCGGTGGTGGCGCACGGTAACACAGCCATCCCAGCTGGGATCGCAGCGGACTCCGGTGGTGGCACACGGTAACACAGCCATCCCAGCTGGGATCACAGGGAACTCCGGTGATGGCGCACGGTAACACAGCCATCCCAGCTGGGATCACAGCGGACTCCGGCGGTGGTGCACGGTAACACAGCCATCTCAACTGGGATCGCAGCGGACTCCGGCGGTGTGCGCACGGTATCACAGCCGTCCCAGCTGGAATCACAACGGGTTCATCCATCTGTGGACGGTGCTCACCGCTGGAACAGTAATTCAACACGCCCTGACGAGGAGGCGGGCGAACGCGATTTTTGCCTCGTCTCTTTCCACGAAACACTTAAGGAAACGTTGAATCGCTTCAGATACCGAGGCTGCTCCTCGCCCGCTTCCGACGTGCCCGGACCGTCGTCGTGGCGACGTCCCCGGCTGGTCACGCCCGTGACGCGGCCTGACCGCCACCGACGGCTGGCACGCGCCGGGACGTGACGCGGCTGGCGACCTCAGCCTGGTCACGGGCGGACACTCAGTCGCGCCGTGCCGGATCACGCGACAGTCCGCCCAGCGGCGGAGCCTCGGCAGAGTGTGCGGAACTCCTCACTGTACTCACTGCCGGGGAGTCCAGACGCCGCGCGCGCGCTGAAACACAACGTCTCGCAGTGCGTGCGGCACCCCGCACGTGTCACCGCTGGTCTTCCGTGCTCTGAGAATCGGTTTCGGCACTTCCACTGAGCGGGCCACATTCCACTCAGCGGCAGAGGGTACCCACCGCGCTGACTGGGGGGCCGGCCTTCTGCACTTTGGGCTTAGCGTACTTCTCCAGCGGCTGGATAGCCGACAGGGCGCCGTCGAACCGTTTGATGGGCGGACACTCCTCACTGGTGAACGTGCCGTCCCAGATGGTGACCTCCAGGCTGGCCATGTCCTGCCGGGTCACGGGGCAGACGGTGGTGAACATTCATGGCCGGTTGTGACCTCTGGGCTGGCCAGTGGCCTCGAAATGCTGGGATGTGACGAGCGCATCTTTGACAGGCGATGAGACCACGCCGACAGCTCGATCTGCTCTCTGTGAGCAAGACGGCAAGAACGCGCGTGTGCTTCGAGCAAACGCAGCGCAGCCCATTAGCAATTGGTGTGCAAAAACTTGATTTCTGGTCGTCGGGTGAATCGAAGCATCGAAGGTGGGTCCGAGTCCAGAGTAGAGATGTGACGCTAAAGCTTCAGTGCTCATAAGCACGCACTGTGTTTTTCATATCAGAGTGTTCATCAAACAAGGTAAAAGAGAGTTCACAAAAATAGCTTGACTTTATACTACATCCGATGCATGAAATGCGCTGGGATTTGAGAACCATAACTAATGCCATGACATTATTATTTTTGAGTGACAGCTTTTCAGAACCATAAGGCCAAACAGATTCGATTTGTTCCGTTACCAGTTATCCATGACCTTTTCAGGAAATCCACGGAACTGCTGCGCACGGAAGAAACATTATTTGCGGCCCACTTGCGCGTGACACACGTCTTCGCTCGTCGTGGCCACACGAAAGACGCGTCATCACTATATGAGCGGGATTTGCTGAAAATAACCACTTGAAAAGCTTCAAACATCAAATATTGGTACGCAACAAAGCATTCACACCCTCGTAACATTACACATGAGGTGTCCTCCACAAAACCGAACTAATCACATCAAATTCGAGCGTGTCGCCATCTGCCGGTTAGACACACTGCCAGCGCCATCTGCAGGCACGGGCGCCAGTACTCACCACGGCTGGACAGCAAATGGGTGCTCTAGGAGGCAATGATAACACCAAACATGAATTCATGTCAATCTCAGGTGTTTCCAGAGCAATCTTACGCCAACCAGAAGGCCAGCACACAGCGGCAGGCATTATGCACACACACGACACACGGAACGGCACTGGCGCCGCTCACTGCTTACATGCGGCTTGATGATTCCCTTTGTGTTGGCCATGGTGAAGAGCTTGGGCGACACTCCAGCCCGCTGCGCTAGTCCTGTGAAGCTGCTGTCGACTGGGGGCTTCAGGAGAGGCACCGCGTGCGTGCCACAATACACCGATTTTCTGCAAAGAGGAGATCGGAGGGCTGTCACCTACATACAATGGTGCTGCCACCTGCCGTGAAATCAATGCTTTCCTCAAGTGCGGCTTTGACAATAACCTTGAAATAGAACAGTAACGAAGAGAATATACCAGCTTAACACTTCCCTGGATTCAGTACAGCTCTCGGCTCTTTGTTAGCTCATGCCTTAACTACGGATTAGGTTTAATATCGGCAGAATCGGCTCACACCGAATCTACAGATTGTCTATAGACGCTCAGCTGTAGATTTCCTTTAAACGCAAGCGGACTGGCACTGCACGTCACGTGCAGTGCACTGTACAGTGTTGCATCTACATCAAGCGTGGACCACAACGCCGGTAGAACGGAACCAAAAGTAAAGCAGCCTCGCACAATGACCGCGCGCCACTAGTACTGAGTCGAGCGTCCCGGCCGTCCAAGAGCGCGAAAACTAACGCCACCGAACGCCCTCCAGCGGGAGATCCGCATCTGCCCCCCCCCCCCCCCCCTCCCCCGTCCGACGCCATCGCCCTGCGGAGGCCACTCACTTCTCGAACAGCTGGAGCACGGTCCAGGCCGACGGCTGGTCCAGGGACAGGCTGAACTCGGCGCCGTCTCTGGGCACCAGACGGCCGCCGAGCTTGTACTCCAGCGGCAGCGAATACAGACGCACCAGCAGCGCCGCCTGGTTGTCGTAGTGCGGGTGGATCGTCTGTAGCAGAGATGGCGCGGTTACAGCACACTGGACGCAACGGACTTCGCGTGGGGAAGAGATGATGCATTGTTCCGTTGGCGGTAAAACGTTATCATAAGTACGGCTGTTTAGTATAGCATCAAACTGAAGGGAGTGTTCCACATTTGTTTGGGGTATGAACTGAAACAGCCAGCTTGAAGGCTATTCGGTGTTATTACGGCGCTACCCTTCTCAAGTCGTAAGCGCTTCTAGCTTCTGAGTTACATGCCCGTGAAGATGTGTAGACTTTTTCATGGAAACTCTTCCAAGTTCACCCAGGCATCCATGACGACGTAATAACGTCATTCAAATTCTGTCACTCCATTGGCCGTGCGACGATCAATGCCAAGAATAGTATAATTGCCCAGTAGGTCATATCTGGCTTTCGTGGACATTATTTTCACATAAAACGGTCGTCAATTGACGGCAGGTAAGATGTAATGAAGCAATCACGTTCTGAGGAGTACAGTTATTAAGCAGAAACTTTATTGCCCGGAGCAGCCTTTTCCACTTAAAAGTACACCAATAACTAAAAGTGCACTTATTTCATCATATCTGATGAAATAAGAATACACACCCACACCCACACCCACCCACACCCACACCCACCCACACACCCACACCCACCCACACCCACACCCACCCACACACACACACACACACACACACACACCCACCCACCCACCCACCCACACCCACACCCACCCACACCCACCCACACACACACACACACATACACCCACCCACCCACACCCACACCCACACCCACACACACACACACACACACACACACACACACATATATATATATATATATATATATATATATATATATATATATATATATATATACATATATAAATGTGTGTGTGTGTCTATGTTATATTTCATGTACGTATATTTACTATAAAACATGTACATATTTCATGTATATATATATATATATATATATATATATATATATATATATATTACCATATTTCATGTACGAAGACCTCCCACGAGATCAATGGCAATGGCAAGCAAATAAAAAACGTCTTGTTTCAAAAAGCAACAAACCAAAGCATCACTTGCGGTGATCAGTGTAGGCTCATGTTCCATATACCCGGGGTGCAAATATGCTGGATACATATCAGTGTCACTTTTGTCATTGTAATTAGCGTAAAGGCCTTAATGAGCCAGTACCTTACTCCCATGCTATCTATGCCTACTTTGTCCTGTTGAAACGAATCCGTCTTCTCTTTAGCACAGCGAATTGATCGGTGTTCAACGTTGCTTGTTTTCAATGTGTTTCTGAATTCAGTGGCGTTGCTAGGATTTCCTCCAGAAGGGGGTCGAAATCGGAGCATAGGGGACCATTTCAGTCGAGAGGCCCCGGCCCAACGCTACAGGGCCCTGTTTTGATATTCCAACGACCTCTGTAGACGCGGGATTCCATTCGAATGAGTCGAGAACCAGTTTTATATTTTAGGAGCTCTTTGAGCGTTTTACAGTAAAAAAATACTTGTGCCTGTCGCTTCAGAGCCCCACCACCTCTCGGAGCGGGGGGGGGGGGGGGGAGAGAGGAGGGAGCTATGGTCCCAAAAGCCACTTGGCTACGTCGCTGTCTGTAATATTGCGTTGTTTGGAAGAATTCTTGCCTGTTCTATTGACATTAACTAGCTAAAGCGGATCAGTTTACATCGGATGATCTTCAGCATAAAAGGCGCGTTAAGAAAACAAATATTGAAACGCCGATCCAACACCGATCATCGTGATCGTACCTGACGTGCGCGGCTGGATATAACGCAACCCACGTCACCACTCTCGCCTGCAATCTACGTCAGCACGCTTATGTAAGTGGGATTACTACCACTCCACACGTCCAGCCTGGTTCCGTCTTGATCGGCCTCCTTCCCGACCACCTCGACCCTTGCCGATTGCTAAGCAGACGGGAATAACAGGACAATGGGCGGTCCGACCGGTCCAGCGTCGCAGCCGCGTGCCAACGTGAGCAGACCTCCGGACCGGCCGGCCTGAGGCACGGGTCCCCTCCAGCCGCGTGCCACCGCAAGCAGACCTCCGGACCGGCCGGCCTGAGGCACGGGTCCCCTCCAGCCACGCTCTCACCGTCGGCGGGTCCATCCAGTTGGGCGAGCGCTGCAGGCTGTTGAGGTCCAGCTTCTGCGTGACAAAGCGGTCGGCCTCGCGGTCGCCGTAGCCGTCGGCCGTGGCAGGCGTGTCCTTGGTGCTCTTGCCGGGCAGGTATTCCACCACCGCCAGCGTGAAGCGGTTGTCCAGGTATACTGACGACACGCGGGGAAGGTAGCGAGTGAGACGGGGACTGTGCTGTCCAGGTATACTGATGACACGCGGGGAATGTCTTGAGCTCGTTGCAGCGGTTAGTAGATGTGCTGAGCTGTTGTTACTGGAACCGTCTCAGTCGCCCAGCAGCATTCCGTGAGTGGGAGCAGAACTCGGGCCAGAACAGAGCGTGTTGGTCCAGATAGCAGTAGTCCGGCGGAATAAACACACTTCAGCCAGCTCGATGAGTTGACACGAGGCTGAGTCGGCCGGATCGTACCGAGCCGAGCACACCACTACTGGGATGGAGAGGACCGATAGCGGCACTCAGCGTGGGCTGCCGCGGCATCATGGTAGGGCCCAATGAAACACGCGTGTCCGATCATCGCCGTAGATCATCTGTCATTAGTCATAATCAATGTGTCGCTAACACATACCTCACACGCCTCAAACAGTGATGGGATTTACAGATGTTATAGCTATTGAAAAGTGTTGAGTGTGGCGGCTTCCATGATCAATCCATTACATGTCCCCCCCCCCCCCCCCCCAATCTTCTCCGCACAAGGTAGTAAGTCCCGCGATCTCACTAGAAGGGCTTTCTTTTGCGGGGTTTTACAGCAAAAGAGGTGATGCAGGTCATAATTTCTAAACATTTTGAACGACATGACGTGATTTCTCAGGAGGTACCCGTTATCCATGCCACGTACATCGCTCCACAGAGCTCCTGCGTTCGCCCGTGCCGGAGACCCGTCGAGCTGGCTTCACCCTCCTCGTGCAGTGAGGGAGCGGCCTGAGCCATACCGATGTCGCCACAGCCAGCTGCCAGGTCCCGCTGTTTCCCGATCGCGACAGGCCGGTACAAAGGCAGCCCGGCTACATCAGCCCACGACGGAACTCGCCCTGCCATACCGATCCCATCCACGCGTCTGCGGACGGGAGCGCGTCGAACCGCCCGCGCTGGATCAGAGTCCGCCGGTCTGGGCTGCAGCTCGCTGCGGTGGGTGGGACAGAGCCTCCCGGGCTGGATCGGAGCCCGCCGCGGTCGGCCGGAGCCCACCGGGCTGGGTTGAAGCCCGCCGGATGGATCAGAGCCCCCCCCCCCGGGCTGGATTGGAGCCCGTCGGGTGGGTCAGAGCCCACCAGGTCGGTCAGAGCCTTCCGGACTGGGGACAGCCCGCTTTGGTGGGTCGGGGCTAGCGACCCACCACATCCAGTATTGAAGCTGTGCTGACCGCGATCGGAGCTGACGTCGAACTGTCAACTGTCACTGAGCTGTCAGCTTTTGTCCTGCATTGTTCTGCATGCTTCTGCATTCCTTTGTTCATGTTCATGTTCATGCACATCTAGCATCAGTCTCTAAAAATGCCCCAAACCGGTGGCTTCACGGCTGTTAGCCCGAGGGTTTGTATCATAACCAGCAGCGGGTATTCATTCACACTTGTTGGGAGTATACCTGTCTGTTGCCTCCTTCGCCACACGCTGCTTGTTCCGTCTCGCCGAATCATTGGGGTGCAAAGTGGGTTGCAGCCAGCGAGTTTTGCAGCCTGTTCGCAGCTGGCAAACTTAACGAATGGTGACACCCTTTTTGCTCACATTGGAATATAGCAGAACAATTATGCCTGGCCAAGCAGCATGTACAAAAGTGCATTCAATTTCCTAGACGCTTCGCGTTCTCATGAATTACAGTTTTTGTTTATGTATAGCGTGGGCAGCCGCAGCCTGGTGTGTTGCGCGCTGTATATATATATATATATATATATATATATATATATATATATATATATATATATATATATATATTCGCAGCTGATATATATATATATATATATATATATATATATATATATATATATATATATATATATATACACATATGTACACACTGCAGGCGGCCGGCAGGTTCGTGCCCACGGGCTCCGCCGGGTCGAGGCACCGAACAGGCGAGCGGCGGAACGGGCGGGGACTGGATGTTGGCGGCCAGCGTGGACGGAACGTGGCTTTCATATAGTCATCGTGTGCAAGTGTGTGATTGGCCACGGCTAGATATGAAAATTGTATCAGCCTGTGACTGGTGGCTGCGAGAACATTGACCTCTAGGAGGCATGACGGTTGACCTGGGCTTAAGTTGAAAAATGCCTCACCGTCCATGCCGGACTCTCACGGTCTTCGGCTTCGCTCGCAATCGTGTCATTTGTGATAAATTATATATGATATATATATATATATATATATATATATATATATATATATATATATACAGGACCACAGAGAGTATAGGAAGGAAATTATAAAAGAGAATCAGCAACGGCGACCGCTTCGTGCACATCACGGGAGAGTCTGGATTAAATAAAATCCGACCTCAGCCGCAAACAATGCAACCGTTGACAAAATGGTCTGTTGCTATGGCATTGCCTGTGTTGTTCGGAGGAGACTGTCAGGTGGCTTGGCAAGCCCAGCCTGCCGAGCTCAATCTAACGTATCTAACCATGCAACGGGACCATCAGAACTGGCGGCCGCTGAGCTGGTCTATTTGACGCCCTGCGGAAGACAGCACATGACGCATGCGCCACTTTGAGATCCGTTCGCAAATGCAGTTTACTCTGGCCCGAACGGTTACGATTTGCACCTTGAAAATAGCGTCATTGTGTAGCCCATTTCAGGCCACATTGCATAAATACTCACTTTGCATCATGAAATGTCTGAATACACTGGTATATCACGATAAGCCAATGTCGCCAGCATGCCATAAAAGCAGCAACGTATACATCAGGATATTTTTTTCGAAATCATTACTGGAACCCACCGCAAAAAATGTTTCACTCTTTACATCACAATAGAGGCGATGTTTGCGCGGTGCGCAAGGTGGTTAAGGAAAAAATTTGTCTCGAAAACTAAGTGTGAATCTAATGGCAGATTACTATGGAAATAAAGCCCGAAGAAAGTGTACACGTTCCTGGTCCAATCTATCCGCATGCAGCGGCGACCCTAAACGGAAGTAGACCACACGTAAGTTGAGTAAATTTAAATAATTGACACAAGCGCTTCAGTACAGAAAGAGAACAATTTCACACATTTTAACTCTCATAAGCCGTCAGCCGGCGTTTTTCAGAACACAATTTGTGGATAATTTCCATTGAATACTCGGCGAGTTTGTTGGGAAGGTCATTTTGGAGTCACTGCGCCTGGGTCGTTTAAGGACAGCACCAAGCGATAGGCTTCAAAATATGCCAGAGCACGCCAAACTAATAAACGGAGATGGAAGAGGAGGACCACAGCCACACCATCACTGGGCTTTTATTATTTGACCTATGCCCCGTGATCCTTTAGAAACCAGTGCCCAAGCCGTTGGCCAGAGGAATACAGCTGGGCTAACGTGCCATCACAGTTAACAAGCATGCGATAATTCTCTAGGCGTCGTTACATCGTTGTGTCGTTTTGCTAGGTATTTACGTGCTTTTCACCAAGCTCGAGCGGACATGCAAGTTCTTAATGCTCCAGAAGCCCTTCGACAGCAAAACGAGACCGTTCAGGTAATCCCCACTGGGCGTCAGTCTGGAAAACGGGCATGGATTGTTGCAACGACGAAATCCGTGAATAAGCGGTCGAAGTTTTTAGTTATATGTACTGATAAAAGTTTTGGTTATGTGTAGTAACCAAAGTTACATGCATATTTCCTATAAAGTATTTACACACAACTTTTCTTTCCAGAAGCCATAGTAATAGAGAAACCTTTCAGATGTGAAACGCACCCAGTAAATATTCATCGGATGCCTCAACATGCGCGACATGCGCAGATGCGCGATGCATCTACCAGAGAGATTTCCTCAGAAACTTTAGGGAGGGGCGCATCGTTTTCCCGTCCTCGTCCTCACTCTTCCCGCGCATGGGCAGAGTGAGGAATAATGCATGGAACTGTGAAGTCATCCGACATTTTGTGATCCTATGTGCGACATGGACGTGTCAAAAGTATTTATGTATACTTCCTGTGCGGTATGCTGCAAAGAAACGGAAAAGGAATGATTAACCGAGGCTTGAAGTGTCGGCCACTTTAGAGCTATTTGTCGCTTTAAAACAGTGCCGGTGCATCGTTTTAGATTCAGGGCCAGACATTAAACATGAGTTTGAAACCAGAAGCCATTCATCAGCAAAGGCTCCTCTGCAGATAACGCTGAAACAATCACGTTTAAAAATGGTCGCGAAGCTAGAGAGTGAGAATGTATGTCATCGGTCGCCGCCGTCGAACAAATGCTTTCTTTTAATTTGTGGTATAGTCTTAATTTGTCGTATTTACTTGCCGTCCAAACACATTAGAAATTAACAGCGCTGCCTTGTCCGTGCACCATTCGGCAGGATGATTGTCAGAAGCCTCTTTGCAAAAGCGCTTGGGGTTTTTCATAATTCTTTCATGTTATCTGCCACAGTCGTTACTGATCTCTGCAGCAACAAGGTAAGGGGAAGGTGCCACCGAAGCCTAATCGCTGCCAAACAATCTGTGATAACCCGTTTTCTCAGACCTGGCCTGTTTCAGACCTGTTTATGCACAATCCTTCTCCACATGGCTTTTATCTACAAATGTTATTTAGCTAAGACGTCACTAAAAGCTGCTTTCACACTCGCATGCAGCAGAGCATGCTCGCAAAATGTCACCCACTCGAACATTTTGCTCCACGCAAAAAATCGTGCACCGCGCCACATCGCATGCAGAAAATCACGGATGTGCCGACTTATAATATTCCGGTTTTTGAACAACGGCAAATGCTTCAAAATAAACAGAGGCATGATGTCACCACTCGTTGGATAACACTTGACCCTGCAGGGCTATTTTGGCATTCATTTTGCAGTAAGCGTGGGTGACGCACACATAAATGGCCAATTAGAACTATAAAGATTGAAACGCATAGCGATAGCTGAATATCTATGGTCTTGTGATATTTGTGTCATGATACATACCAAATTGTAGCTCTCGATGCGATGAACATGAACATGTCCGTATAAACCATGTTAAGCCTACGAACGTGGTGCAAAAAGTCAAATCCCGGCTGTGCCCATGAACCCAATCACCTGCCTTCCCCACATTCTGGGAATCAGTGCTCATTCATTCGCCGCCAGCGACGGGCCGGACCGCCCGCCCTAACCTGTGCCGACCTGACCGAGCGACTGAAAACGACTAACTCCGACAGCCCACACTTTGCACCTCGAGCGACCGTAAAGGCTAGATCGACCGCGAATCGGTCAAAGGCACAAAACATTGGTAACACAGAAGGTATGTGTAGTATAACACACACGGGTACACAAAGGATCTCTTGCAATTCGTCAGTCAGCGTCTATGAAAAAACAACTCTTCCAAAAACCCATTAGCATCCCGGATGGTTTTTAAAGCGTTGTTTTTAAAGAAAATAAGATATAGTGATATATGCACAATATACATGATATATCTTATATAAGACATATATATGATACATATTATATATGTATATGTATATATATATATGTATATATATATATGTATATATATATATATATATATATATATATATATATATATATATATATATATATATATATTGTTTCCATAGCCTTGTGTTCAGGACAGCTGGTTTTTCCAAACCAAGTATTGTATGATAGTGAACAGTCTTCCGTCAAGAACCATTCACTTCGTTGAAAGTTTTCATTTCAATTAGCACCACTTGCGATTGCTAGTATCCTTCAACAGTGTTAGCCAACTGCAATGAAAAGCCGTGATTTATGCAATAAAGGCGTTGAGCTCCTAGTTTTTTGGCATTTTAAATTAAAAGTGCTTATCTCAACAGAACCAACCTTCACATATAGCAGAAAATTCTGGTTTAACTACATTACTGAGTAAACATTGGTTACATTGTTAATAGCCGACATTTCAAGCCGTCGTTATGGTCGTAAGTGCACCATGGGTCAGGTTGAACTGTTGAGTATTGGCAATGACCAGTGTTTGCTCGACAACGTCGTTCAGCCGTACTTCCTGATATGTGCAAATGTAAGTGCTGTTAGCATAAGAAATCTGAACCCATACTAGTAAAATTTGCCATAAACAATGTTTCCAGTTCACCAGCATTGCGCAGACAGCACATTGTCCAATACTTCCTGCTGGGAATACCTGCTCTGATGATGCATTGCTGCTCGTGATACCAGCACGCTCTTGATGCGAATGAGCAAGAACGCAGCAAAACCGCAATGCCTCCTTGTTGCTATCCAGCCTTTAGCACAATGCGTGTCGCCAAAGTCGCATCGCCACACCACGCAATCATTGGAAAGGCTCGCCTGATGCAACTCACGCACGGTATATCAGACCTAGGATATTTATTGTTAATACCAGCTTAACCTTCGAGGTGGCGGGCTACCCTCACGTCAAGATTTACGTACATGCGGTCGACTGAACGTCAGCGAACACACGACATTTTGTGTCAACGGAGTTGGTGCAGTCCGCCTGAATTATGTATTCTGAGCATGCGGCTCAAGTACTGTAAAGTACAGCAATATTTTTGGTGGATTTGGGCAAGGTGAACCTGCATAATGTTGAACTATTTCCGTAGTCCCTATCTAGCTCGACTTAGGCAGTAGCGTGTTGAATTCGAGACAGACTTAGATACACGCACCGCCGGTAGCTCCCACAATCGCTTGCTGGCGGCGCTGTGGTGTTGGACAGTGCCTGGCCTGAACTGCGAGATCTTAGAGGGCGCATTGCCCTGCGCGGTGTAGTTGGTTTGACGTGATTCTCTCACCGCGTGATGAGATCCGACGTTACGCCTGAAGGGCGCCCCAACGGACGATTCCGTGACTTTTGGCCGATAGCACGCTTTGATGTGCGCTTCTGTCGGTGCGATTTTCCATTCTTTCCGAACCGAAGTCTGCTCATCGCGTCCCGCCATACCGTGGTGTCGGCTACCCGACGTTTGCGACGTCCAGGTAGCCGCCGACACCACGGCACGGATTCTGACCGCCAGTCGGCAATGTTTGGCGAGTTGGAAATTTCGTGTCCCCCATGCTAAGATAATGGTCACGTTTGCGACTGCCACTCACGTCACCATCTCCGTCAGCAGCGTCAAATTTGGACACGATACATTATTGCGCTAGAACTAAAGGGCCCTGGATTTTCCAGCCACAGAACTGAACAG